GGGGGGCAGCGGGGTCCGCCCCGCCGGCTTCAGCTCCCTCACGCCGCGTCGGGCCGCGCTCCGGCCGCCTCAGCCGCCGCCATGACCACGGAGGACGAGATCATCCGCATCGCCAAGAAGATGGACAAGATGGTGCAGAAGAAGAACGCGGTGAGCGGGGGCGGGACGGGACGGGACGGGAGGGGAGCCGAGCCGAGCCGCCGCGGGACCCGGCCGGCCCCGCACTCCCTTCTCGGAGCGGGCCTGCGGCCTTCCCTCTTCCCGCCGCGCCCGGCGCCCTTCGTTCCTTCCCCCCCCCTCGGCGCTGCCCGGCGGCCTCCGCGCCTTCCCCCGCCGCGGGAGGACGTGGAGCCGGCCCGCCCGCCGCGGGGGGGCCCTGGGCCTGTCAGCCGGCCCTCCTTCCCTCCTCTCCTCTCCCTCTTCTCTACCTCTCTTTTTTCCTCTCCTCCCCGGGGGATTGTCCCCAGCCGCCCGGGGTGTGTGGGGGGGGACGGAGCGGGGCCTCCCCCCGCCCCAGCGCGGAGTCCAGCCCAGGGGGGGGTTCCCTGCCCCCGGAACGGCGCTTTCCTCCCCTGCCCTTCCATTGAAATCGCGATATTGGCCTCTCTCGACAGCGATGACAGAGTAGAGGGGAGGCGGTCTCCCTCGGGTGGGTCCTTCCCGCTTTCAGGCGTGGAAGCTGGGGTTTGAAAGCGAGATATGAAGGAGGAACCCTCATGCTTCCCACGGGAGGCGGGGTGGCTGGAGCTGTGAGGGCAAACTGCTGGGGAGAGGGGGGATGTGAGCCACTTCCCCCGTGTGTTTTAGGGTTGTTTCTTTTCTCTCCTAAACCTGAAACAATGTAACACTTTAACTGTGTCTATTAATTCAGGGAATAACTTCTGACTCGGAGTGGAGGTAAAACATAGCTAGGTAGAATTCAGCTAGCTCACTTCAGGTGTGAGCGGGTGTCAGGAGGACGGGGTGGTCTTTTTTTCAGTGGTGCCCAGGGATAGGACAAGAGGAAATGGGCACAAACTTGAAGTTCCACCTAAACATGAGGAGGAACCTCTTTCCTGTGAGGGTGGCAGAGCCCTGGAAGAGGCTGGCCAGGGAGGTGGTGGAGTCTCCTTCTCTGGAGAGGTTCAAAACACCCCTGGACACATTCTTGTGCAACCTGCAGTCCTGCTTTGGCAGGGGATTGGACTAGAGGGACAGAGGTCCCTTCCAACCCCATATCATATCAAACTTCTTTTAAGTTAACATATCGCATCTATACTATCTGTACAAAAAACATCAAAATGAGTAAAATCAGAGCGTGCAGCAACAGCCAAATACCCGATTGTGGTTACACACATAATAGCTTACAAGCAAGTTGCAAACTCTGTTTACTGCTTCTTTATCAGGTGTGCATATTTGTTATGCTTCCGTAATTTGTATATTTCTGTTTGCTGCTCTTCCTGCAAGCTTCTGTTTTAATACATGAAGTATGATAGTGCCTTAAATGCTCAATATTAGTGATAGTTCAGAACTGAATGGTGTAGAATTTCAGTTTATAGAAGCCTTTTTTTTTTTTGCAGTTTAAGATAATGGAAATTATAAATAACATTTTTTAATAAGATTTGTATATTTATAGAAATATTAGTTGCAGTAAACCAATGAAATTTGTTTTGTTCAGAATCCAAATAAATTGATTGCAAATACAGGCTGTGCTTTGCTATATTTCAGGATTCTTAGTGTTCTATAATATTGCACGGTTTAGCTCTTGTACATTTTAACCCTCTAATGGCACAGTGTGGAAACAGGAGCCTTGTCTAGTGGAAAGAATTTTTACAACTAACGTTTATTCATTTGATTATTATTTTTTTTCCTTTTTATTCCCCTCCTCTTTTTATTTCTATTCCCCATGCTTTTCAGCACAACAGGATTCACCGTCTCACTTTTTTGACTCTAAAACTGAAGTAGAGGCTCTTCCCGATGAGATGTGGGAAAGGTGAAAGTATACTGACAGTGACAAGTTTAAATATTGTGGTAATGAGAATGATAAAGTGCAGTCAGTTCAGTTTTATTTGGAAGACTTCTGACAATAGAAAGAAAATGGTAACTCCTGGAAAATGGTAACGACTGTTGAGCTGGGTAGCATCGCTGCAGCGATACCAGAGATGCTCCTGGTGACCACAGTGTGACCTCTCTGTGCTCTGGGAGGCTTAGGAGTTTGGATGTAATTCCTAGCAGCAGCTGGGGACGTGTGTTTATGCTCTAGCATGTGTAACCTCGTTAACTGTCAGAGCTCTTGGGAGCAGTGCCATGTCTTTGCTGGGGTCAGCGTGGGTCTGATGTGGCCAAATGCCTGTGCCAGGCTGGAGCCAGCAGCTGGGTTTTCATCCTCACCGCTGTCCCAGGAGCGAGAGCACTCAACAGCACCAGAAACAGATTTGTTTGGTACTTTGTTGGAACAGAGCTCTTTCGTTCCAGCTCGTTACCGCTCACAAGTGGCTCTGTCGTTAGTTTGACACTGTCTCAAAAACCTTTTAACTCTGAGGACCTGGGCTGCCTCTGTGGCTGATAGTTGAGATCTGACAGTTTATCCAAAGCGTGTGTGTGTAATGTGATAAAAACCTTTAGCTGTATGCTAGGAGAGGGTGTACATCACTATTTAACTTGAGATGCCTCTCTGTTTTTCTTACTAGTCTCGTAAGATGATGCTTCTCTCATTGTACAGTGTGATTTCCTACCCAATCCTGCCCTGCAGTTAAAATGCCAACTTCAGTGAAATTATTAAGAACATTCCTATGAAGAGGTACTTCATTGTCTCAGATGCAGCTGAATTGAGAAAGGCACTTACTTAAGTATCCACTGGCTAATGATGCTCCTGACAACCTCTTGTATTCATTTCTCCATTTTCACTCAACAAGAACAGGTGTTTGCTGTATGTCTTTGAGTGAGAATGATTTGACGAGACTCATCAAATAAAAGAAAAAAAAAAACAAAACACTTTGATACCTTTTGACCCTGAAGTTGTCAAGACTCAGATGGCAAGAGACGCTTCATCTCTCATACAAAAGGCGACTCTGTGGCTTGTAGCAAAGTGCTGTTCAGAGTTTCTTTTGATGAGTTGAAAAGGCAGGCTGTGCCGACACCCTTCCTGAGTCAGACTCTTGGTGATTTGCCTTGACTAAGGATTTAATTGCAGCTGTGCAGATTTCATAACTATTTTAGTGAAGTTCTTTTGTTTTGAAGGACAAAATAATAATGCAATGCTGTGTTTAACACATCGTGAGATACGTATTTCTGCTGTTACTTCGAATATTGGTTGCATGTTTGAAATAGCTATTACATCTTCGTCAGAGCAACTGTGATTGGATTAAAAAACATGTAGTGCCTTGTAGCTTTCATTGCATGTAAGTATGCCTTTCTTTCATTAAGCTGCTGTAATCAATAGGTATGAAAAATAAGGTTGCACCCACGGATTGAAAAAATCAAGAGCAGTTGAGTAAGTTTCGAGAAGAAAATGTAAAATTGTCCATGTTATTAAATGTTTGTTCCCTTAAGTAGAGCAGAGTTGTAACTGGATAGCTCTGCTGTCTTGAGAACCATACTCTGTTTCTCTTGCCTGAAGCACAGCGATGTATAGAACATCATTGTGTTCTGAGCTGATCAACTGAGAGAAGCTGAGAGGAGTAACCTACTAGATCTGTATGAAGTTGACTTCTGGTATTTCAAGTAACCAGGTAAACCGAGAAGCCAACCAGTCTAGTGGGAGAAGAAAATGTAAAATTGTCCACGTTATTAAATGTTTGTTCCCTTAAGTAGAACAGAGTTGTAACTGGATAGCTCTGCTGTCTTCAGAACCATACTCTGTTTCTCTTGCCTGAAGCACAGCGATGTATAGAACATCATTGTGGTGTTCTGAGCTGATCAACTGAGAGAAGCTGAGAGGAGTAACCTACTAGATCGGTATGAAGCTGACTTCTGATATTTCAAGTTCCCAGGTAAACTGAGAAGCCAACCAAGTCTAGTGAAATGGGGCATTGCCTTTCATTTTTTATAAAATTATAGAAATGCCTTTAAAGGAAGATATATAATAACGTTCTTAATGGCTGGGTTTTTTCAACGGAGATGTCTTGCATTAGAAAAATAGGAATTACAAATTTTACTGTGCAACTTCCACTTTGGTTTTGAGGAAAAGAGAGCACTTGGCTTTATGCTAAGAAAAATGGTTATGAAAACTGTTTAGTTGTTGTGAGTTTAAACTCAGATTTATAGCATCTAATTCTTAATTCACTTAATATAATTGATTAGAGGGAAGGCTTAGAAAGCATTAGTGCATTAGAAACTTTGGAAATTTGGTACAGAAAACAGCCTGAAATGTAGGTAACGCCTTCTGTTGAGTGAGTGCCTGGGTTTTTTTACTTATTGCATGGTTTGTTAACGTTCTATATATCATGTTACTAGTTTTAGAAAATGTTTACACTGGGAATACTGAAGTTGTTTTGACACCTACAATTGGAAACGGATTTTACAGAGACATTTTGATTAGACTCTATTTCTAAGATGAGGTGAAGAGAGTGTTATAATTCTTGCTTTGCATTACAGTATCATTGTTATGCTGAAACTCCAGACTACGCTAACCTCTGTTTATTCTGAGGTCACGTACTGTGTACAGTTTGCTTATAAGTTAGTTTGTTTGGAGGGAAGTGTTATTGGATTATGTTGCCTGGGTTTTTTTACTTATTGCATGGTTTCTTAACATTCTGTATATCAAGTTACTAGTTTTAGAAGATGTTTACACTGGGAATACTAAAGTTGTTTTGACACCTACAATTGGAAACGGATTTTACAGAGACATTTTGATTAGACTCTATTTCTAAGATGAGGTGAAGAGAGTGTTATAATTCTTGCTTTGCATTACAGTATCATTGTTATGCTGAAACTCCAGACTACGCTAACCTCTGTTTATTCTGAGGTCACGTACTGTGTACAGTTTGCTTATAAGTTAGTTTGTTTGGAGGGAAGTGTTATTGGATTATGTTTTTGAAAATGGCACGTTGACTTAGAATCGTAGAATTGTCTAGGTTGGAAGGGACATTTAGGTTGATGGTTGGACTAGATGATCTTAACTCCGATGATAAAAACCCCATCACTAAACCGTGTCTCTAAGCACTATGTCAACCCATCTTTTGAACACCTCCAGGGATGGTGCCTCAACCACTTCCCTGGGCAGCCCATTCCAATGCCTGATAACCCTTTCAGTGTAAAAATTTTTTCTAATATCCAATCTGAACCTCCCCTGGTGCAACTTGAGGCCATTTCCTCCTGTCCTATTGCCTGTGACTTGGGAGAAGAAGTCTCCCCTGAAGGTCTCCCCTCAGCCTTCTCTTCTCCACACTGAACACCCCCAGCTCCCTCAGCCTCTCCTCATCAGACTTACTCTCTAGACCCCTCACCAGCTTTGTTGCCCTTCTCTGGATCCGCTCCAGCACCTCAATGTCTTTTTTGTGGTAAGGTGCCCAAAACTGGACACAGTGCTTGATGTGGGTTCTTTATCGTTCATTTTGTTTGGCTAAGAAAATTTGCTTGAATTTGATTTTGGTTTGTAGCAGTGAAGATAATTAACTTGCTCTACTTGGATCTGTGTTTGCAAAGAAGAAATGATGCTTATGGCTGTTTAGATAGTGTTCAAGTTAGCACCTGAAAATAGCATGACATTTCCCAGTCTTGCATCATTGCTGCTAAAATTCTACGGTTAAAATTAGAGAAGTATTGTATATAATGAATAAGACTTTTCACTATGATGGCAAAATAGCAGACCTTTTGTTTTATAAATGAATTGGGTTTGTGTAAGGTGGGACGTAGTGCGGCAAGACTTCTTTGCTGTCAGATGTGTTTGAAAAACAGAGGCTGTAGCAGACGTTTGATAGTGTCCAAAGCTGTAGCTGCTTGGATGTGACACACAAGTTACACTATCTTTTTTTCTCTGCCTCTTGGTGGTTATTTTATGTGCTATCTTTAGTGGTTAAGTTGTAAGACCTGCAGATGCAGCAGGAGATTACAAGTTTCATTGCAACAGGTGTCCTCTTAGAAGTTGGTTATGGAGAATTTAAAAATAAAGATGAGCAAAAAGCATGTTAAACAAAATATGATGAGCTGAAGGAGAGGTAAGGAAAGAGAATCAAATTCCAAAGATCTGCAAGATGGAAAGAGAATCAAATTCCAAAGATCTGCAAGATGGAAATTTTGTGGGATTTATTTCCAAACTTCACAAATTCAAAAGAAAAAGTGGGAAGGTGTTGTGCTTACCCTGGATAGAGTAACTTCTTGTATGTGAAGACTGTTGTCGTCTTGGGGTTTACAGCTCACAGGTTCAGAACCATACACGCTTGATTAACAGCAAAACCTCTCAACCTTTAGGAGGTTGCTATAGTCTGGCAACCCATGTGTAAGGTAAGAAGTGGATGGTGCAGAACTTTGCTTAAGTATAGGCGGTAAATCATTGAGGATATAGACATTAAATTAGGGAGCTCACATTTATGATGTTTAAATTTTTTTTTAATTCAGGTAAGGCCAACATTGCCAGGGTATGACTTGTTAGTCAGAGTAGCTGTGTATAGAGTTTATTAACACCTAACAGTACAATCTCTGAAATCAACTTGTCTATCTAGAAAGGTGCTGCTTACACAGGATTAGTTTGTGCCTTTCCTTATGGCCTTAGCAGGGGAAAAGGAAAAAAGAACAACCCATGACAGCTGAATAATAAGGAAGTGCCTTAGCTGAGGTGTTGTAGCATGTTAGGATGGGCTCTGGCTTCTGGCTTGGAACATATTGCTTGGCAAGTCTCATATAGGTTGAAGACCTAGTGTTGTCTGCACTCATCTATGCAGCCTAATCTATGTATTTCATTGAATTAATATTTAAATGTAATAGTTGAAAATAAGACTTGGAAGCAAGTCTTGCTCAGTTTTCTTATTTGGGCATTTGTTGGTAGACACACTCATAAAATTGTTTTTTTCTGATGGGGAAGCTGTAGCTTAAACTAGTAAAATAGTGTAATCTGATCACAGTTTTTAAACCAGTAAACTTTGCTGGCTTTGCCACACAACTGCAAATACAGTTAAGAATGTTGGCTATATATGTTTTATATGTATGTGTATATATGCGCATTATTGATGGACTATGCAGAGCTTGTCAATTCCAAGTTCTTGTGCTAAAACAGGTGAGGTTGTTCTGAACTCAAAATTGCTGTTGTCTGGCTTGTTTCTGATGCTGCTCAGTGAAGTACCCTTGAAGCTGTTTTCTTGAGGATGTGTGTTGGTTAAGTAGTAATTGACAGAATGCTTTAACTGGCATTTTATTATTTGGGATAAAACTTACCTAATCTTTGAGTGAATACTTTGATTTTTGTGTTAAGGCCTGGTAATGCTTAGAGTTTGTGAAGCAGAACGTTCCTTGTCCTGTAGATGGTCTGAGGATAAATTGGGAACTGATGGTTTGAATCCAATCTGGGACCTTGAAGGCAGATAAGAGTACATTGTTGGTATTATATTTAAAGTACCCGATTGATACTAATTTTTTTCTTTTTTTTTCTTTCTTTTTTTGCAGGCTGGAGCTCTTGATTTATTGAAGGAGCTTAAGAATATTCCCATGACCCTTGAGTTGTTACAGGTATGATTTTCTTACTGTTGTTGCAAATACTAGCTCCATAATGATGAAGGTGAAGCCAGTAAATTTGGAAGAAGGTTGCACTATTAAAGTAGTTTCTGATGTAGACACTCCTTGGAAGAATCAGTGTTGTTACAAGGTGACTAGTTCCTATTTCACCCTGATTTAGGGGACTTGTCTTAAAGTGTTTTCTTCCAGGTGCAAACTCTTAAATCTTTCTGTTTAAGTTGAAAATAGTGAATTTTGTCACGGACAAAGGGGAAAAGCTGTTATGAATTTACCTTGCATATGATCTTAGGGTCTTACACACAAATATGGTGTGTTTCCTTCCTTCTGAAGGAGAATGCACCGGATTACAGCTGATACCTTCTTTTCTTACATAGTTAGTTCTGGTTTTGAATTGTAAGTGAGGCGAAGCATAGTTCATACCTTCAGGCAACTTGTATTTGATGGTTTCCTTCCCCTCCCAACTCTGAGTAGTGTATTTCTTAAGGTAATTATACTACTACTCCCCTTTTATTTCCCTGGGCAGAAGTGATGGTTCTCTCTCACTCTCATTTTGATTATATCTGCATCTCTCTCACTCTCATTTTGATTATATCTGCATCTCTAACATAGTATTTTATATATTATTTATAAATTCTTTTTAAAAGTAACTCAGTAAACTTTTATTTGCATGTCAAGTTTCAAATATTTGAAAATTTCCAGATGGCAGAGGTAGATGTAAGACCTGATTTGCTGTGGCTGCCACTTAAATTGGAAGAGACTGAAAAGTCACTTTTTTCCAAGTGACAATTAATTGTCACAGGTACAGAATTTACCATAGAGTTCAAACCTTAAGTCAGCAGCAATGCTAGTCTTGACATATGGATCCTGTATATCTACAGAATGTACTTAGTACGTTATTACTAACACTGTTTGTGACAGAAAATAGGAATTTGAAAGTGTCACCTTCACGCATGAATGAGCATGGCTGATGCCACGCTGCAACCTTCTCTTGTGTCCAGCCTCCTTCCTTAAAAAAGCCAAAACAAAGCCCCACTGAAAAAAAAACCCTCAAGCCCCAGTCGAAAAACCAACAAAACACAGAAAAACCCTCTGTTAACTTCATTCTTTTGAGCTTCTTTGTGCAGGTCTTGATGGAAAGTATTAGAATAATAGTATTTTTTTTGCCTTTGGAATGAAAAATCTCTCTGTAAATGCTCTGTAAATTCTGTAAATGTTGCTGTGCAAACCTGTTCTGCTTAGTGTGAAGAATGAGCCTAGAAGGAGAAGCTTTACACAGAACAACAGGACAATTTTACCGTTGAACCATGAGGATCTGAAGAATGTACATTCTTTTCTCAGATGCAATGAAAACCTTAGTAATGTTATCAACAGAGGAGGACTCTTAATCTTGCTAAAGTACAAACAAGCTCAACTGTCTGCCTTTTAGGACACTTGTGCAACCCTGTATAAATTAAGTTAGGGTCACATATTAGTTCTGTCCAGTTTTCTGTCCTACTTGAAGGAAGCTTATTTCTTTCCATTCATATGACAGGTAACTCTTTAGAGGGAAAGAATGTTTGCAGTAAAAGATTGTTTTTAATCTGTGTTGGTGTGGGCACCAGGTGAGTTTGTACAGAAGAATTCTCGATTACAGGAGGTCTGAAGCGATCAGGTATTTTGGTGTGCTTGGGTAGTAGATTGACTGTAGGTTAGTTAAGAAGTTTTTCTTAAGTATCTACTGCTGTGCTCAGAACAGTTCGGCTGCGTAAGATTGCATTTAGCAACATGCTTAGACTCAAATTTACACTATTTTTTGTTGAGGGCTTTATAAATATGTAAAGTCTGCCGTAAAATTTCTATGTTAGTCTCCCAAATTTGCTTAAGCAATGGAGGACTCGAGCAACAGTTGAAACGCAAAGTAATGGCGTACATCGCTCTGGTGGTGGATCGTTAGTGCGCTGATGGCAAGAAGGGTGATGATCAGCAGGTCCAGAGAGGTGATTCTGCCACTTTGCTCTGGTGAGACCTCACCTGGAGTGCTGTGTGCAGGTCTGGAGCCCTCAATATAAGAAGGACATGGACCTGATGGAGAGGGTCCAGAGGAGGGCCACAAGGATGATCAGGGGGATGGAGCACCTCTGCTACGAGGACAGGCTGAGGGAGCTGGGGTTGTTCAGCCTGGAGAGGAGGAGGCTCTGGAGAGACCTAATAGCAACCTTCCAGTACCTGAAGGGAGCCTACAGGAAGGCTGGGGAGAGCCTGTTTACAAAGGCCTGTAGCGATAGGACTAGGGGCAATGGCTTTAAGCTGGAGAGGAGCAGATTTAGACTGGAGATTAGGAGAAAGTTCTTCACTGTGAGGGTGGTGGAGCACTGGAACAGGTTGCCCAGGGAGGTGGTTGAGGCCTCATCCCTGGAGATAATCAAGGTGAGGCTTGATGAGGCCCTGGGCAACCTGGTCTAGTTGGGGGTGTCCCTGCTGACTGCGGGGGGGTTGGATTAGATGACCTTTGGAGGTCCCTTCCGGCCTGGGCCTATGATCATGAGAAAGTGGGAGCACTGACTTCCTCTCTGTAGACTGAGATACCCATTGAGATACCCCTTGAACATGTTTGGACTGATGAAACGCGGGACACAAGTGAAAAGCCGATTTCCACACCCATTTTTAGGCAGTTTTGAAAGCTGGCTACATGGAGAAAAGCACTGCGGACTGATGCGACAGTTTCATTATTCCTGTGTAATAAAGAGAAGTGATGATTTTTCATGTAACACGACTGTTGCTTCATTCTGAGCTGGTGAGGTCCTCTCAATGAATCACAGGTGTGTGGAACAGGAAGGTGCACATCAGTAGTCTGGACCTATGCTTGTGTCTTTCTTGCCTGATTTTTGTTGGGGAAAGCTGGAGCAGTTACAGACAATAGTACGACTGTCTCACATCCAGTGAATTTCATGTAAGCCAGCTGATCCTTGCTCAGCGAGGCAGGGAGCCAGGAGCCTTCCTCACACGTGATTTATCTGATGGTCAGAGTTGCAAATCTGTTTAGCAGCCGCATCGTATTAAAGGCATCGTGTCACCGGTGCTAATTGTGGGTAACAAGCAGCTGAACAGCGAGACAGACAGACAGTCTTTATTTTCACAAACAGGTTTTACTGGAAATTGCACACACGTATGCAGGACTAGGCTGTGAGGCACAGTCCTCATTAATGACTTCTTGCCAGTTCATTGGTGAGTCGGGGAGACCGAGGGACCTGGAGGTGGTTCTTCTTCAGGGGTTGATTTGGCTCTCTGTTGGTCTGGGTGCTCACCAATTCTCTGTCCTTGTATTCTCTTACAACTTAAAGTTAGTAGCACCTCTGCTTGATTCAGTGGTTGCTTTTCTTCCCCAACTACGTTGGCTCATTTGGTCTGATTTAGAGGAGAATAGCTGCCACCGTAGGCTTTGTTTTTGTAACTTGGTGTTACCTGTTGCTCAGACCAATTGTAAGCTGCTTGGCCTCCAGCTTGAATGCTCCAGGGGTGAAAACAGCTGTCGTAAGCCGTCTCTGATCCTCTTGACTCTCGGAAAGCAGATGAAAAGGGCTCTAGAATTTGAAGTGGGGAAGAATGATCCATTAAAAATGCATTTTGGACAGGCTGAGGAAGGTTTTTTTATACCCAACATGTATAAACTGGCACAGAGGTAAAGCAATTCCACAGGTTACACTGGTTTAGGCAAAAAACCCCAGAGTTTTACGCTTGAAGTGGCTCTCACAAGAACAGCTCCGTAGGCTGGAAGACTCAGGAAATTTCAAACGCTGACATTAAAGCAGTTATTTTGAGAATGTAACACTGATCTTGTGATTACCTGTGTCAGTTTGCTGGCAACTAAACTTGTAGATCATTCCTTCCCCGCTCTTTAGCCAAGGCCAGATCAGGTGCTCTGTAAAAGCAGACAAATGAGCAAGGTTTATGTCATGCCCTAAGAAAGCTAGAGGTTTAGAGTTACTGTAATAGATTTCTTTCTTGTGATCAGAGGAAGAAATTAATTTATCCAGTTAATTTGGAGTTTTACTTGAGTTTTTGAGTTCTACTTAGTCTGTAAGTTGGTGTCTTCCCTTTTTGCTGATGAGAATTGGCCATGGTTGTGCCCAGTTATCAGTTGGTTTTTTTTTTTTGTAGATGCATTTTTCTCATTCAGGTATGATGAGTATTGTATGAATTCCCAAGCACTTGTTATTCTTTATGTTTGTTTAACATAAAGAGTTACCATAACTCTTTAACGTAAAGAGTATGTGTTTAACATGTCAAGAGAGTTGATACTGTTAGTCGGAGTGAGCAGAGTCCACCTTGAAGCACTTTAGTTACAGGTGAGTAACCATCTGTTTTCTTTAGTCCAAAATACATGTTTAGAGCAGATGCTGAGGTTATTTGATGTGTTTCCTTTGCTGAAACAGCTACAGAATATTTCAGTATGTTTCCAGTCATTTAGCACATCCGTGGTGCCCCAAAAACCGTTGTGTGGGTTGTAAGGAGTAATTTACAGGAACAAATCATTTCCATTTTTAGTGAGCCACAAAGATTTAAATTTTCTTTTAAAGAAGAAGGAAATTTATGATAAACTCCTGCTAAATTAAATAGAATAAATTATATTTAGTGAGTCCTGTAAATAATAAATGCAACAAAACTGAACATCTTAACAATTAATAAATTATATTTAGTGAGTCCTGTAAATAGTAAATGCAACAAAACCGAACATCTTAAGAAGAATTAAAAAAATTTAGTCCTCAATCAAAATATGAAAGGATAATAAAATACTTATTTGTATTGCTAAATGCTTTTCTTCTCTGATGAAACCGGAGGTGTGGAAATGTTCTGCTTGTTAGAGTAACACAGTAGTCAAAAGTCTTCCCAAATGAAACTTTAGTTGCTGTTGAGCTAAATTTATGTCCTCATCTTTTGAGTCTGAAGAGTGGATTATAAGTTGGTCTCCTCTTGGCTCTGTAGGTGGCAGTAGTGACAAAGGTTTAAAGCCTGTCACTCTCTTGGCCTTTTGAGAGAGAGAGGCTACTCTAAAGCAGAATCCTCTGGGCTTAAGATTTTAAAGAATCTCAGTATTGCCAAAGTTATTAGGAACCAAAAACGTGGTGCTCGCAGCTGATATGGCAGCTTCTTGCTCATCTTTTGAGTCTGAAGAGTGGATTATAAGTTGGTCTCCTCTTGGCTCTGTAGGTGGCAGTAGTGACAAAGGTTTAAAGCCTGTCACTCTCTTGGCCTTTTGAGAGAGAGAGGCTACTCTAAAGCAGAATCCTCTGGGCTTAAGATTTTAAAGAATCTCAGTATTGCCAAAGTTATTAGGAACCAAAAACGTGGTGCTCGCAGCTGATATGGCAGCTTCTTGCACAGCCACTAAATGGGAATTCTAAGAGTATGAAGTCATTAAAGCCATTGGCAACCTCCTGATCATGCCAAAATATAAATACAGTCATTGCTTCATGGAAAAGTAAGATTTTGAAGTTAGAACCTTTGCTAAAAATTTTATATAACATTAAGATGAATATATGGTTTTCACGTTGTTAGATGTTTTGAATGTTGTACTTAGTAAGTAGCTCTGCAGAGCTTTTTGAAAAGGTTTGGGAGTGAAAATCTTCTGATTGACTCCCCTTAACATCCATCGAGTGTCACGTGTCCCATCCCCTCCTTCTCCCCCAAACTTCTCTGATGGAGAAATATGGTGATACTGTTGTATTTCTTTTTAAAATGTCTGTGTTGAAATAAGTTTTGTAAAGACTTGCACCATTTCATCTTGATAGTCGGAAAAAAAACACAAAAAGAAAGGAGAAAAAAATAATTTCAAAATTATGTCAAAGTACCACTTTATGTACCTTTTTTTTACTTGTTAAATTGTCTACATGTCAATTTTTATCCTGTGTTTTTTTTATTTCTGTTGCAGTCTACCAGGATTGGAATGTCAGTGAATGCGATACGCAAGCAAAGCACAGATGAAGAAGTCACATCTTTAGCAAAGTCTCTTATCAAGTCTTGGAAGAAGCTGTTAGGTACCGTGGTTTTTTTGTTTTCCCCCTGCTGTTGTGTGCTTTTACTGTATCCAGCCTCGATGCAGCTCCTTGACACTGCCGTGCTTTAAGATATGTTTGTCTTCCTGTGTAAGCATTGAAACTTTCTGCACTGCTGTAGCTGGTTTTTACTCCTTGACTAGCACCAGTGCATTAGGGTGAAAGTGTGTTCAGAGAAAAAAATGAATGTATTTTTATTGGGGCTGGCAGGCAGTGGGAAGCCAGCTTCTGTGACATGACTCATTTCTGAAGTCTGGTGTCCTGCCGTTGAGCTGGAGTGGCTGTTGTGCAGTTCTAAGCACTAACGAACCTCCTCTCCACTATTTCCTTTGTCTAATCTAGCAGGTACTCTGAAGAACTTGTGCAAAATCTCGTATGAGAGTGTGGAGGCTTTGAAGTTTGGTTATAAAGTGGTTTGTGAAGAGGGACAAAGAAAATTGACGTTAAAAATACGTTAGAACTTACAGGTAGTGAGAAATAGCTCTGCACTTTCTAAAGCCTTCATAGTTTTAAACAACTTACTAATTAGCGAGTAAATACTCATTGTTTTAATTTCCCTTAAAACAGTGAATGCAGTTAATGAAAGCTTTCAGTTAGTAAGGTTTTAATAGAGGTTATTTTGTAGTACTTAATTTTAATGCATTTAAAAACAATCAAACCTCAAACTGCCCAGGTAGTTTTTGTTCATAGACATATGCTGTACTCTGTTTTGTTACTTTGTATCTAATTTTAGGTAAACTAAGATTTAGGAAGCTTAAAATTTTGAACTAGAAAGCGGTTTGTGTTATTTTCCACTGATTTAAATATTTGCCATTCTATCTGGAATAATATGCTAAATACCAGGAGGTGTTAGAGTCTCCTGCCACTTGAAGTCAGGCTCATTTTTATCAATTATGAAGTATTTTATCAGATACTTTATTACTCTCTTATGAATGGTATGGAAGTGATTTTGTATCCATCTGGCAGTATATGTGTGTAGAAATGGATAATTTGTCACAGCTTTCAGCTTCCATATACTAGTATAAAGCAGCAACTTCTACAACAAACATTTTTTTAACCTACCTTTAAAAAGTTAGAAAATACCAATTAGGTTAGTTTATGTAATTAAATTTAGATAATCCTAGATATGCTGATAAAATACTTTTAAAATCATGGTAATAACTTTGATTATAAATTAAATGTGTACTTTGTAAAGGATTTGATCAGTGTTCACTGTTAATTGGTGAAAATTTTGTACTTTTTATGTTTAAATTTCCACTTACAAATTGAAGTCCAACTGTATTATATCCAGTGTACAGCGTAAGTTGAGAAATGGACTTGCGTATTAACTTGAGTTACTCTACAGACTTCTAAAAGCAACAGCTGGATTGAGTCACCTAGTGCTCAAGTTTTTAATCTGAGTTTTTTTAAAAAAAAAGCCAATAAAAGTCTTGGTGTTTGGTGGTGTTTTGTTTTTTTTTTCTCTAAAGTTCACATTTTTGATACTGCAACTTAGTTTAGGCAACAAAGTAGAGAAAATATTTTTTTTTTATTTTTTTTGGTCCCCTGCAGAATTCTCAAATTTGGGAGTGCCTTTGGATACTGCTTTTTTGGGGAGGGTGGAGGCTAACCCTTCTGCGTATCGCTGTCCATTGAGCAAAGGAATTTCTATTTGTTTGTTGAGACAACAAAAATAATCTTCTGCCCCTTTTTTTTAAAAATACAATATTTTGAATCAGTCGAACTTATCTTAATGTATTGTTTCTTAGAACTGACTGATCTATGAGCGTTCAAACGTTGTGAAAGGTGGGGAGTATCAGGAGATCGGGTGTCTGGGTGGCGTGAAGTATAGGTGGGACTCTTACAAAATGCTCTTATTCTGTTTTATCATTAGTTTTGGCTTTCTCAGAAGAACGGGAAATACCGTATGTTGAGCTGCTTGAGAGATCAGTTTCGCTTGTGCTGTTTATAGTGCATGTAAAATGGTATGGAGCAAAGATGGCAACAGAAGCGGACAGCTGTTAATCGTACCCAGCATTGTGCTCAGGGATCTGAAGGCTTTGTGAGTTCTTTTTATAAATGACATTTTGAATTCAGGCAAGAATTGTTGACTGTTCAGGCTGCATGTGCCGTTGAAGTTCAATGCTATCGGAACTTAGGGTTTAAGAACGCGTGGGAAACGTGAGAAGAACACAAAGTGAGGTTGTGAATCACCAGGTGTTTATGGCTTCACCAGAGCTGGGCTGGGTTAACCAGGGGGTTTGCAGGGGGTGGGAGGTTGCCCAGCAGAGGGCTTGAAAGCTGTGTCTGAAGTGTCTCGCCGTTAAACCACACAGCCGAGTTGGTCACAATTTACATAAGGAAGCAAATTCTGCTCTCAGAATAAAATACTGTTCAATTATAACACAGGATTTAAAAAGATTTTTTTTTTTTGACAAATAGCTGAATCTACAGAGTATGGTATGCAGATAAAGAATCTATACCTATCCGTTCAGAACATGAGGAATATTCCTTTATATTAAAAAACAACAACAAAATTTCCATAAGGAATGTAACATTCCCCATCACAAACAATTACTCACTGAACTCTGTAAGAGTGAGCTCTGTAAGAGTGTACTGAACTGCGTCCTGAAAGAGTATACAGTGAAAAAGAATGTCCAGACCTCTTAACAAAATAATCTTAACTCCAATACGTTTATGTACTCAACTGGACATGCAGAATGATTGGACAATAATCTTGACATTAAGTGCAAATGTGATTATCTGTTGTGCTGGGAATAAAAACGAAAAATGGGGCCACGAGCATTTCAAAATGCCTATTTCAAAAAAGTGCATGCCTGAGTAATTTTATTTTAAAAGAATGTTTAAGCGCTCGGTGCTGTCAGGAGACAATTACACCAGCCAGACTTCACAGGAGCGTTTTACTCAGATTACTTTGTGCATAAAATCCTTTATTATTTTGAACCTGAGTCTAACTCTGTTGGAGCAAGCTGGTACAGTCTAGGACTATCTTACAGGTATGTTAATGCTGTCATTAGGTAAAGTTATTCAAGGCCCTCAAGTAACCTGCTGGCTTTGCTCAAAAAAGTTGTTACTGACAAAACAAATCCCTAATTGCAGTCTAATGGCTACTGTTGATAAGAAGAGTACAAAAGTTGTTACTGACAAAACAAATCCCTAAATTGCAGTCTAATGGCATTTAAGAGTATTTTTAAGAGTTTACTGTTGATAAGAAGAGTATATGTCTTTATAAGATATCAAGTAGAATCAAGTGCAAAAATAATTTCAATAGTTTCATTTCCATATCAAGTATGAGCTGTGGAAATCACCTCCTCTCAAATGTATCTTTGAAACTGTTCCATGTACGATCAGTAGGTCTAGAATTTGTTAGGATTATCAGTGGGGAGAGAGAATAACACACGATGCAAATTATGTCATACTGTATAGAAAAAAACCCACATGTATAGCAAAGTAGTTAATGTGTTATACTTAAAAAAAAAAATTAAAATGGCAGTTGATAATTTTGATATTATTCCTCCCTACGCTACTACTAGGAAGAAGCTTCTCTGATCTTACCTTCATGTCTTACTACATCTGGCAGAGGAATTGCTGACAAGTGTAGCTGCTTGTGCATCTCAAGATTATTTTGGTCAGAGTCTGGAAAATGGGGCCTGAAGAATTATTAAATATGAGGGTCATTGTAAAATTAATGACTATGCCATTTCTTACTTGTTCTCATATCTTTTCCCTTTATTTTACTTAAACTGAATACTCAGAAAACTTTCCAAGTTTTGGTGGTGATACTGAATCAGTGATATAAGATAACCCATTAATTAAATTCTCATGTGCTTCCAGGGGATAACTAGCTATCTTTGATTAACATTTCTGAAAAATTCTTTCTTTAAAAAGATTTGTCATTTAAAGCTAAACTTAAAAATTTATAACGTTACATCTAATTTTTTTTTCTTGCTACTAGCAAATGTCTTGAGTTCGCGTGTAATATAATTATAATTAGAAGAATATATGATGAAGCTGTTAAGGGCTTCTAACATTCAGATTAATTATGTGACCTCAAACTATATATTATTAGATTAAAAATTTTGTTCTGGTAACAGAGAACACTATCATAATGCTACTAACACTATCATAATGTCGTGTTTTACCCTGGAGAGTTTATTTCGCTGACAAAGGTAGAAGTATCTTTCAAATTAATTGCAAGGCCCAGGTAGAAATTGCAATGCAGTAGTCAGAATTTGATAGACTTATTCCAATGGCTAATAGTCAATTCATGTTTGTTCTTTGTATTTTAAAGAAGCATTAATATAAATTAACTTATCTTACTTAAAAATAATCTTAAAGATTTTTTTATGGCCTTCTGAAGCTGCAATAGCTAAAACTCTGAAGTTACAGTTTTCAGTCCTAAAATTGATGACAATTTCAGTTTGTTTCTGGAAAAAAGAAGCTTTGGTAAGTTTTAACAGTTGTACAAAGTTGAAAAAGTAATTGTGCCTCTTTAAAGCAACTTGTACTATATATTATATATTATGTACTATATATTATAAATATTTATGATGTTCTACAGACTTCCTGATACGAACCTCTTGCTCATTGGAATTTTTAAATATCTTTCATAGAAGGGCCATTTTTTCCATCTTACTTCATTAGAATTTCTGTGGCTGGGTGTAGTTCTCATTAGCTGTCATTTTCCCTTTGCCTTGAGTCTGGCTCTTGAATGTAGAATAAGTTAATTAGTAGGGAGTTTTAATCTCTTGAGGATAACTTGTTTTCCTTTCCCCAGAGGATAGTCGAAATGATGTCTAGCAGGCTGTTAATTGCACTCTGTTCTTTTGTCAATACAGTATTTTCATAAAATAAGAAATCCTTATTAATGTGTGAGTTTAAGAATAAATACTGCTTGACACTGGGTCTCCTCGGTGCTTTCCAGCTTTTGATCCGTAAGAGCGAATGACTTAAACAGTTAGGAGAATATTTTGAGCAAACAGAGAATATTGTTAACTTTATTTTAAGATTTCTAAAACTGGATTAAACAAAACAGTCTTTCAACTCTCCTCAAAGCGATTAAAGAAATCGTAGTTTTGAAGACTCATTTGCCTGAAGATGGTCCAGTTGTCTCAGCTGCTGAAGTTGGAGAACTGCTTGCAATTGGGGTATTGGCAGATGTCCTCAGGTGCCTGCCTTCTCTGATGAAATGGTGCTGGGCTAAATGGAAGTGTTTGATTAACTAAAACCAGGTGCCAGCTATACCATAGCGGTGTATTTGATGTAAAATAGGCAGGAGATACCTACATCAGCTCTGATTTTGACAGACAGATTTTGACAACTTGTGTTCCAGAAAGAAATATGGAGGTAAATGTGCAGAAACAGAGCTTTGAGGCATCTACACTGCTTTGTAGAACCTGAGCTGTACCCCAACGTTCTGTTTGATCTGTCAGTCTGTCTTAAAGCCTCTGACAAAAATGATCATGTACCTAAAAAATGATGAGGGTAAACTTTACATGCATATTTAGAATATTTTTAATATTATATCATTATATATCATGTATTACATATCACTATATATCATTTTTATGTGAATGTGCACGTTAATATGTGTTCCATTCTTCCAAGTTCCCCACAGAAAGGTGGGGATGGGGCTCTTCTGGAAATGAGGATGCTTTTTGATGCTTAAACAAGGATTTAGACACCTAGTTCAGGGCATCTTTGTGGGAAAGACTGAGCGTTATCAGATTTCCCTACTTTTCTTGATCTGTTTTTAGTTCTTTTTAAAGTTTGCAATATATGTCTATGGATTTAGAAGTGTAACGGCAGCTTTATGAGGGCTTAGAGAGAGGAATTCACAAAATCTGTCGGTGAATGATGCCAGTCTCGTTAGGCTTTCTCTGTAGGCAGCAGAGAGTCTGCCTTTCTGTAGAGCAAATCAAAGCAGGAGCTCGTTTTAGCCACTCTGAATTCCTCTTTACAATAGAAAGTCGGATGTGTTCTCATTAAGCTGAAGTTAAAGGTTGCGATTGCCCTTTCTATAAAGGCTTTCATTTTTATTCTTTATAAAATCATCATTAAACGTGGCCTGTATGGGAAAGGCAAATTCAAATATTTATAGACACTAAGACAAATAATTTAAGAGCTATTGCAGAAAATACTAGTTGTGTGTCCGAAAAACTCCTTCGAAAGCGTATGAAAATGATCTTTATATTTTTTGGCAACCGTGGTAACTTTCACACTACAATTTCAGTCCTTCGGTAGAAATCCTGTGAATATAATTAAAAAGAATGATGCATGTTTAGTAGGAACTTATATTTAAAACATGGAAGGCAACTCAAGACTTGCTGCAATAGTTTATGTCTACCTCATGCAGGAGGGCTGGCAAAAAGAAATCGTAAAAGTCTATGTTTTCATCATGTCTTCGCTGTCAGTTCAAGCAGATGCTGGACTTGTCTTGAAGGATCTGAAGTGTTGTCATATTTTCCATTTGCTGGGTTGGGGAGGGTGTTGGGGAGTGGAAGGCTGTACTGCAAGAGAAGGTCAAAGCAGAGAGTGGGAGCTGCGAGCATTTCCAACTGGTGCAGGAGAAATCATCAAAGATCTTTTACCACTGGTTGCTATTTCTGGGTAAAAGAGAGTTTCTCGTGTTTTGTATTTCCAGATGGACCTTCAACTGATAAAGATTCTGAAGAAAAGAAGAAGGAGCCTGCATCTTCCTCACAGAACAGCCCTGAAGCAAGAGAAGAAAGGTGCTTGATTCTTCATGACTATACAAATGACCTCATTCCGTATAAATCAACATTAAACTATTTGGTCCAATTTTGTCACAGTAGAGACAGCTTCCACATTGTTTTCTGAAATACATAGAATTGCACAAGAGGTGGTGTGTTATTAGGGAGGTAAATCCTGCTGCTGCTGCTGCCATGAAAAAAATGAAAGCTACAGGTCAGAATAGTTATTGTTTATTCCACCTGCCTTATCTGTCAAATACTCCTTCCTCTCTCAATACAAGCACTGAGCTTTGAGAACTGTAAAACAGCTTTCAGTCATAGCTTTTTGGTAACTGCAAATGTTAGAGGTTTAGAATACTGCTTTTGTCTGATAGCTTTGACATTTAATAACCAATCTAGTTTTGTACTTTCTTGGGTAAACACAAAATATTGGGGAGGGATTCTTTATCAGGGAGTGTAGCAATAGGACAAGGGGTAATGGTTTTAAATTGAAAGAGGGGAGATTTAAATTAGATAGCAGGAAGAAATTCTTTCCTGTGAGGGTGGTGAGACACTGGAACAGGTTGCCCAGGGAAGCAGTAGATGCTCCGTCCCTGGAAGTGTTCAAGGCCAGGCTGGATGGGGCTTTGAGCAACCTGGTCTGGTGGGAGGTGTCCCTGCCCAGGGCAGGGGGGTTGGAACTAGATGATCTTTAAGGTCCCTTCCAACTCTAAATAGGTTATTCTATGATTCTATATGTTACCAGAAAAATGAGTCCATGTTAATGATGCTATAGGAGCTGAAGAACATTTCCAAAATAGTATTTGCAAGCCCATTTCTAATCTACATTATTGTTTTTAGTGAATGTTTCCAGCAGCCATTTTCAGATTGAAATTTAACCTCTAACCATTTGTCCGGGTGTAAGCTGAAAACTTTTTGGCTTACATTTTGCAAAGCTACACTAATTGCTTGATTGTGACCATGGTACCACTTCAGCAGACTGAATGTTAGTGTGATGTACCTTCAGTCTTTTAAAGTTCAGTGGCGGGGAAGATATTTATGTTAATGTAGAGAACTGAGAATTGAAACTTACATGCCATATAATGGAATGAAATACCTGCTGTGTCCCTATTGTGTGGAATACCCTGGTGAATATTCTAAAGACACTTTTAAAATTGTATTGACTCTAGAGCTGTAAGTAGCTTTTAAGAAGTGGCTTAAGAATTGGCTTTTGGATACCATCAAATGGATGTAGAATAAGACCTGTGTTTGGCCCTGGAACAGTTATTTGAAGAGGGGGGGAAAAATATTAATATTAATTTTCTTTTAATTTGCCTTTTTTTAGCAGTTCAAGTAGCAATTCCAGCAGCAGGAAGGAGGAGGGTAGCACTCCCTCAAATTCTTTCATCCCTTCTTTTCCCCGGGCTCCAAGCACTTCGGATTCTGTACGAGTGAAGTGTAGAGAAATGCTCTCTGCAGCTCTCAGAACAGGAGGTGAGCTTTGAAGACTAGATTTTTCAAGTTTTAACTATTTCCTTCTTCTCTATTTGAGCCCTTCCCACTCTTATTTTTCGGTAGAAAAAACCCTGTTTATATCCATTCGTGTGTATCTACCCGCAGGCCACTTCACCCAAGTTGCAAGTAATGAGTAACCTTGACAACATGGGAATGTATTGAAATACATTTTTTGTTGTTGATGATATGGGACATTTTGTGGCTTCTGGTCATCTGATATCTTGCCTACAGTGGAACTTCTTTTCAGGAAGGTTATTGCCTCCTTAATGCCTCACTTAAATCTTTTTGTAGAAGCTGTTATTTTTTTTTGTCTTATCTCTGAGAGTGCCACTACATTCATGCCTTTCTTACACACTTCCTCTGGGCCACAAGATTTTGGGGTTTGCATTCTGCCTTGCTGTATTGATTTAATTTGAAGTTTCATGGCAACAAGAGTTTTACTCACAGTAAAAGAGTCTCACACTGCTCTGTCTTCATGCTTCAAGCATCTAAATTCCTCAACTGTTTGGGTGGGCTTTTTGTCTTTCCCCCCCTCTTTAAACCGACAAATGGAATGATGCACTAGATAAGGAGCAAATGGAAAGTTGGACTCCTCAGAATGATATGAATTTTTTCTTGTGGGTCCTTCTCTTCTACCAGAACTTACAACCCAGCTCCTGTTCCTCTGTTCTTAGCTTTTTGTCACCTGGCGCAGTGTAAGCAGATGTCTCATTCATCCATTTTTACCCTCTTCATTCTTCTAGTCTTTCTTTTAATTCAACTAAATTCAGATACAGACAATAATCAAAACTGACTAAAGACCATCAATTTGTGGTCCTTTGGATGTGTAGTTCATGGACTTCTAAAATAATTTGTGACCAGAAAGTTGTATATAGCATCTTATTATTCATAACTCTACGTGGTCTTAATTTTAGCTAGTTTTCCAAGAACTCTTTTTGCTATGTTACTTTCTACAGCAAGTATAAACCAATCATCTATAGATTGAATGCCAATCTCAAAAAATGGTATTTTCTGGTTTTATGGCCTTCTGCGTGAAGGAGAAGTGTTGTTTGGGTTACTCACTGAAGTATACCCATGTTAAAAGGAAGAGGAGGAAAATACATAATGGGTCAAATTCGACCTAAAACGTCTCAAGATAATTGTTTACTGTTTCTGACCAAAACCCTTATTCATAAAGACAGCTGCCCTTTCCAAGGTAACTTAGAACAAGTGTTGTATTGTCTTCAAGATTGCTGTAGCTTATTTCTTCTAATGAAGTGTTGTATTGTCTTCAAGATTGCTGTAGTTTATTTACATGTTTTGTGACACATCTCTGCTTTGCATTTTTAAAAAATATCTAATAATATTGTTTCTGTTATTCAATTACTATGTTTCTCTTGCATGCTTGCAAAACATTAATTACTTATGCTTCTATTGTGTGTTCTGGAAGAATTGATGAAACACAATGCAAAATCTTTTCTTTTTTCAATAGCCCGTTCTACATGCAGATAAGCTGTGGAGATGAGTTTCTCTTGCATGCTTGCAAAACATTAATTATTTATGCTTCTATTATGGAAGAATTGATGAAACACAATTCAAAATCTTTTCTTTTTCAGTAGCCTGTTCTAGTTGCAGATAAGCTGTGGAGATGAATATTTGCTAAGCCTATTAGAATACTTAAAATTTTTCTGTATGGCAGAGTTTTTTTGTTATTACTTGTGTTTGCAACAAGATGTTGGAATTTTGGGATTTTTTTTTGAAAAATTTCGGGTTATGGCAGAGTTTTTTTGTTATTACTTGTGTTTGCAACAAGATGTTGGAATTTTGGGGGTTTTTTTGAAAAATTTCAGGTTGTTTTACTATTTTTAAACTTCTCTTGCTCTTCATTTCACTTATTCTTGTTCTTCCAAGTAATGTTAGCAAAGTCTTGAAGGGATAAGTATACAGTCAATTAACCTTTCTCTCCAAAAGGAATATTCACTGCAGTTGTTTCATAATTTGCCGAGTTTCAGAGTTTTGAATGGGCTGTCAGGGATGTGGGATACTGATGAGATTTGTCAGTTTGCTAATATTTTAATATTTGTTTTCCTCAGATGACTACATTGCTATTGGTGCTGATGAGGAAGAGCTGGGTTCTCAGATTGAAGAAGATATCCTTTGTTGTACATCTATGCACGCTAGAACAAGACTGGGTTTTTTTTAAAGCATTATTAATGTTAAAAATATCTCTATATTGAATCTTTTAAAATTTCATTTAAAGCAAAAATAACAAACTGTGTTCAGTGCATCAGTGCAGAAATGTAGTGTTTAAAAAATCAGCACAACCTAAATGCTTTGCCTTAAAACATGTAGGAATGTGTGTAGGTGAGCGTGTGGGGGTTTTTTTCAGTTCGGTATGTTTCCCTTGTGGCAGCAACATTATATCTTACTGAAGCATTCTGACATAAAATGCTGGGCTCTTCCATGTTATTTTAAAATCTTTTCTTCTTAACAATTGTAATATTTTTTTTTCTAATGTCTTTATTTTCTACAAGTTTATTTCTAAATTAATTTGCCATTTTCAAAAGGATTGTTCTGTTGGCAATGTTTGAATAATTACAGAGCACAGATCTGGGCTTCTTTTTATTTTAGAGGTTCTTGGGTGTATTCTTAAGCTTAGAAATAGTCTTAAGCTTCATGATTCTAACTTGATGTCCTTAGGTAATTACAGTCAGCCACCTTTCCTCTTAAGGAATTTCCTGTTTGTGTTGCAGAGCTGTTTTAAAACTCTGCTATTGAACTGCCTGCCAGTGTTTGAGTATTTGGTTTAGAAAGCAGTTAATCCTCAGGATGAGGTCAAGGAACTGGACATAAATTTATGGGTGACTTCTCACAATTTCAACTTTTTACCCACAAATTCATTTTTCACTGGCCATGTGCTAAACTATGATTAGGCTTCAGAAGGATGTGAAGTTTGCTGTGATGAACAGAAAAATAACTTGATTGGATTTGGGGTGGGGGGGAAGGACTCGGTCAAAAGTTGCCCCCCAAAATGAATCCTTTGTAGTGCTCTGTTTTACTTGGTAATGTTTTGTTCCTTAAATCCAAAGCACCTATTTTTCAAGAATTAAAAAACACTGATATGAAATACAAAAATAGGGTACGGAGTAGGATAGCAAATCTCAAGGATGCGAAGAATCCTAACCTAAGGAAAAACGTGTTATGTGGGAACATTCCTCCTGACAAGTTTGCCAAAATGACAGCAGAGGTGAGTAAAGCAGAGGTCCTGAACTATTTCCCTGTTGGATTTATGTCCTGACCTGCAGTTATTAGCCATAAAAATAATTTACATGAGCTGCCTGCACATCTGAGACACTGCGGTGTTTGTGGCTTGCACAGTCTGAATTAGGCAGGGCTGTGTTGGGGCAGAGGGAATGAAAGTGGTGTCTGTTAATGGTTCCTAAATACCAGATTTTGTTTCAGGGTCAGAAGGCAGGTGTTTGTTTAAAGTTTATAATTTACATGAGCTGCCTGCACATCTGAGAGACTATGGCGTGTTTGTGGCTTGCACAGTCTGAATTAGGCAGGGCTGTGTTGGGGCAGAGGGAATGAAAGTGGTGTCTGTTAATGGTTCCTAAATACCAGATTTTGTTTCAGGGTCAGAAGGCAGGTGTTTGTTTAAAGTTTATCTCAGATTTGACAGAATGCTTCACATGACTTTGAAGGAAACTCCTCACCATAAATAGAAAAAGCCATAACTGATAGGGGAAAGAAGTGAGGAGAATCGCCCTTTGTATCAAATTAAATATGTTATTTTTAAAAAACATTTTGGACACTTGAGTAGAAATTCCCATTCAGATGCTCACTGTATCTCAGATTTGACAGAATGCTTCACATGATTTTGAAGGAAACTCATCACCATAAATAGGAAAAGCCATAACCGATAGGGGATCTTTACAAATCCAAATAAATGTAGGAAGTCAAATGAAAAGTTAGGTTTTGTGGGAGAGAAAAATGAAAGCACAGTTAACATCTGATTCCAGTTCTGTAGTTCTGCTTCTTTGTGTTGGATTCTCCTCCCTCAAACCAGGTATAAAGGAGTATGTTGGAGACAAAGAAATTAAATTTTTCATCAACTAATGAAAATAACTTTATTCTAAAGGAAAGGTTTGGTGGTTGGGGTTTTTTTTGTGTTCTGTAGCTTTATGTGCAGGTTAGAGCAAACAGACTGATAAAGGAATGTGTAAAGAAAAATATATTGTACCTTCAGTACCTATTTTGTTTGTTCATTTTACATATGTGTATGTACATATGCATAAACATACATTTTCTGTTGTCCAGTGCCCATTCTTTGTTTTAATTAACGTCTTGGATTAAAATTATAATGACTAAAACCCACCTTGGTGTTAAGATTACTTCTGAAGTGAAACAGCATTAATGCAAGATTTGCATTCCACCGTCCACGTGGGATGTGGAGTAAAACTTTGCTGAAGAAAAATGGAACTACTTGTTTTTTGCTTGATTACTGTCTGTTGTGGAGAATCTGCACGCTAGCACTGTTTGAAAGGAAAAAGAAAATTGGTGAATCTGAGCTCCTTGGTTAGTGTTTTGAAACGAAGTGTGTATGACTTCTGGTTATACTGTATTTCTCAGTACAAATGTGGAAATACTCAAAATAGTGTAAATTTTTCCTATAACCTTCTTTAGGTCAGTGAGATAATTATGCAAGGATCTAACCTAGGGAGAGGACATTTTTCCTCCTTTCTGGAGAACTTGTCTCTATATCACATTTCTGAACTTCAGAACTGCGTTTCTAGGGGGTTAATATTGTAACTTTTACTGATTTTTGTGGCTTTTGTGCTGTGAAATACCCCTTGTCTTGTAAAATCAAAAAAATGTGTAGAATTACTTTACCCTTAATTAGACTTGCTGCTCATGGATTCTTAATAAAAGAAGATACGGGCTTGCACAGTGCTAACAACTTCTTTAAAACTAGAACTCTCTAGAAAACTGTCTGCTCTTTGTCCCCGACAGGAAATGGCAAGTGATGAGCTGAAAGAAATGCGCAAAAATCTGACCAAAGAAGCTATCAGAGAGCACCAGATGGCTAAAACGGGAGGTACCCAAACTGATCTGTTTACGTGTGGCAAGTGCAAAAAGAAGAACTGTACATACACCCAGGTATGGGCTTATTCACACTATTTTATTTTTTTTTGTCATTTTTCAAAGCTTGGAGTCCTATTTTCAGAGAAGAAAGTTGTAATTACAAAATGAACTTTTAACAAAATGCTAACAGGTTACAAAATACGTGGAAATAGTTGAATCTGCTTACGTGTGCTTACGTAAAGAAAGTTTGTCATATTAATTTACCAATTCACCAAAGATTTTATGTAACTCCAAGCTGAGTATTTGTACAGCCTGAAACGTTAGTTTCTTTGCCACACTGAGTTTTTGCTAATTCTGCTTATTACATCGCATTAATATGGTCTTATATGGAGGAGAGGTAATTTACTGTTTTTAATATGTGTAAACTTTTCTTTACGGAAGGAATAAATGGCAGAAAATAATGATACAAACATATAAAATATATATTTTTTTAATATGTACATAATCTCCCATTTGACTAATACTAGACCCTGACTTACAGTCATTGCTACAACTCTTCTCTATTTTAATTGGGAAATGTATGCAAAAAGGGCTTAAATTTGTTTAGCAGTGCTTCAGGGCATGTAATTTTGATCCATAGGATCAGCGAAGTTTATAATTTAATATTGTGTATCAGATGTTTTCAGTAGAAAGCTGGTTTTGTATCATGAGATTTTTAAGTCTTTGCATCAGTAAATATATGTAAAGCTGGCCTGAACATATAGCTTTACAGAACAATTTTTTCCTAGAAATACCTGCACAGTTTCTGTGCCAAAATGGATATTTTAGTGCTACTGAATGTGTCAAGACATAAGTTTGATCGCTTTATAGTCCAGACAAAAAACCAGTTGATACAGAAAGTTAACTTGTTTTCTTATGCAAATGTGTTTCCTTAATGACAAACTTTGATTTTAAACCTTTACATTGAACACATACTAACAAAAGTTGAAGATAGTAATTTTCCTTTTCTGCTCTGGCCCTTGCCTTTGATGAAGGTTCAAACCCGCAGCGCTGATGAACCCATGACAACGTTTGTGGTCTGTAATGAATGTGGAAACAGATGGAAGGTGAGACTACTCTATGTATTTCCTAGCAGACATCCAGGCTCTGTGCTTAATTTTGGTTTACAGTAAATTACAAATGAGTTTCTGTTGACTTTTGGTTATTTCTTAGCCCTTTAATGGTATTACATGTTGATATTACAAAATAGCTTTTTGACTGAAGGTGTGAGATCACACATGGAGCAGCGGCAAAGTTAGTCACTGTGTTTTGTTTTTCTTCACCATTTTTAATCTCTGCTTTGATGAGTGAAATAGGCTTTTTTTTTAAAGCCCTTTTGTTGGCTTCTTTGCTCCTTTTTTTTTGCTACTCCGAAAAGAAGGGGGGATAAAAAAAGAGATGACTGCTGCCATATTCCTGTGCCAGGATGAGTGTAGGGCGGTGATAACTTGATTTAAATTTTTTTTTTTTTTAGCCCTTTTGTTGGCTTCTTTCCCCTTGTTTTTTTTTTTGCTACTCTGAAAAGAAGGGGGGATAAAAAAAGAGATGACTGCTGCCATATTCCTGTGCCAGGATGAGTGTAGGGCGGTGATAACTTGATTTAAATTTTTTTTTTTTTTAAGTTCAGGAGCTGGGAATTATAAAAGCTTCTGAGGAACACTGGTAGTGTGATAAAGTGGAGGAACACTGACCTGAAGGCCTGTACAATTTACAGCTTACAATAGGATAGCAGGCAACATGAAGAATTCCATTGTGTTTCTGTCTTAAGGACACTGCAGCTCTGCAGAACCATGTTGCAGAGCATATGCTAAGATTATTGCATAAGAAAAGTCCTTTTATACATTTTGGTTTAAGTATCTTATTACTGAATATTGTTCAAATCTATACTCCAAGATATCTTTTTTATAAAGTGTATAAATTGTTTGATGCGGTACCTGGAAAAGTTTATTTGTCCTTAAAACCTTCTGTAAGGTGACACTTATAAATATGTCCGTATAAAGATGCTTGAGTGAAGGAATGGTTATGATATAAGCAAATGCTTTGACTAGTAATTTCCATATCCTAAGTATGGTGTCATATTTCTGTTTCTTCTTGCAAAGATTTAGAAATAAGCTGTATGAAGATCTCATGAAAATTCTTTTCTTTTGACAGTTCTGTTAGAAGAAGAAGAAATTGTCAAGACATCTGGACCAGTATGAAAGAGGATTTTTGTAATTAGCTTTAAAAACTAGGCTAAGCATCTAGCTTCCTGCAAACGCGAGGGGTTTTCGGTTTGTTTCTTTTTTTTTTCTTTTTTTTTTTTTTTTTTAAAGCAGCATACATGCCTGAAATTAGCCTTTGTTTTGACACAACCATCATTTCCTTAACTGCCTTCCTTCTAGCTGATAGTCAGTAGGGCCAGGTCGCTCAATTGTATGGTGAATGTTAAAATATTTTTTCATTTTTATAAGTAAGTTGACATTAAACTTTTACCAATTAAACATTTTGGGAATTGGCTTGTTTTTTTCTAACGATGTGAATAATGTACTATATTTTTTGTGGTCTGAAACATACATGCTCCTCCCACATGTATTTTATCTCTCCATATTTGTGCAGTTGTAAGAATGAAATTTGCTTCTTGCTGCTGTGTTCACTAGTTTTGCGAAGAGAAAAGGCATCTAACTTCATCTAATTACATTAAACTCGGTTGTTAACTAAATCATAATTTAGTTAACTCTCTAGTTTGTGCATACTGTTTCTGAATTGGGACTCAATTTATGGTCGTGGGGTTTGGAAATTTATTAGTGGATGCCATGACCTCTATTGCAGTGGTTGGTTAAGCTTGTTTATGTAACCAGCTTTGATCAATGCACTATATTTTATTGCCCAAATAATGTATTTTACATTTTATCAGTAAGTGTTATTTCTAGGAATGTCTTAAAATAATCACTTAAACCTGATTTGAGTGTCCAGTTTTGCTTAATGTGCCTGACAACCGAGTAACCCATTCATCACCATATGAACTGCCTGGGGACTTAATATTAAATTCGCTTCATATAAATGACATTAATTTTGTCAAAAACTGGGTTTTGAGATGTAGAATATCCGATGTCAATCATGGACCTGAAGGTGAGAATAAATTATTAAACTTACGATCTTTTCTATATGTGGAATGATATAAATACTGCTTGGTTAGAGCCTGCTGTTTAGTAGCGCACCTCTTTGGAAGTATTTTCAAATGCTTTTTCAAGGGAAAACATGTCAATATCTTTAGAAAAGGATCGAATTTTTTGTTACACCTAAGTTTATATTATTTAATTTACCAAAGCCTGGAGCCGAGGAGGTCTATCCTGGTGATGTATAAAGGATTCATGGGGGGATGGGAAGGGTGTGTCTGGTTCCTGGAGAATAAATTCCTTGACTGTAAAGGAAAAACCAAGGTTTTCTGTGTTGCATAACTTGATATAAAACCATTTTAAACTCAATTTGATATTAATGCCCTAATTTAGAAAACATTCATTTTTTCTACTAACAGAATGGGTTTATTTTTAGCCTGTATGTAGGTCCTTTGGCAGGATTGCTGTTTAACAGTTACTTAAAGATGCGTAATTGATTTTTTTTTTTTTTTCTTTCCAAGTTGTTTAAGACAAGGACAAACTGATGACATTCATTTAATATGAATTGCAGTGCTTTGTTTGGAGACCCTTGTAAAGAAACAGGTCCAAAACATTCAATTTAGAAATGGTTGCCTATTGGATGCCAAGCAGAGCTGAATTTCCACTGCTGTTGACGGCGTACGTACGGGGCAGGCACAGGTCGGTGTGCACAACCCTCCTCACACTACCTGGCCTTTTGATGCCTGACTGTGACGCTTAAGAAAATAACCTTTTGAGCAAATATAGTAAATGTCTTACAATTCGGTAAGCACAGAAAGAATCTGAACTTCATTAAAATAACTAGAACTGCAGGAGCGCTTTCTGCCGTGTAGGTGTATCCGTGTAGGAGTTCAAATACAAGGTTGTTTCACCTAATCTTACCTTACAGCTGTGGCAACAGCCTTCACTCTTTCTCTCTCCTGTTGCCTGGGTAAAAAGAACAGTTTCTTTCTTGTGGTGAAAGATGAAATCCAAGAGCTAGATGCCAAAATATCATAGGTGCCTAAATCCTATTCCTGCTATGTTTTCCAAAAAGAACACTGCCCAGCTGTGAGCTGTGGCTGCACCTCTGTGCACCAGGTGCTGCCCTTTTCCCGTTGTCTGAAATTGCCTTCCTCTGTTGGAGAGGATGCAAAGTCTGAAGGACATGTAGGAGAAGGATGAAGAAGTGGGGCTGGGATTGTGTCTCATTTCCCAGCTGGCTGACCTGTCTGCTGGGCTGCAGTCCTCCTGTGGCTGACCCAGTGCCTTCAGGTATTTTATGCAGTGAAACGTGCCAGCAAAACTGGGGGTAAATCTCCCCCATCCAGAATTCACAGAATCACAGAATCTTCTAGGTTGGGAGGGACCTTAAAGATCGTCTTGTCCAACCATCAACCTGACTGACAAAAATAGACACCCAAACAACAAACAAGGAGCATCATCACTAAACCATACCTCCCAGCACTACATCAACCCGTCTTTTGAACACCTCCAGAGATGGTGCCTCAACCACCTCCCTGGGCAGCCCATTCCAATGCCTGATAACCCTTTCAGTGAAAAAATTTTTCCTAATATCCAGCCTGAACCTCCCCTGGTGCAACTTGAGGCCATTTCCTCTTGTCCTGTCGCCTGTGACTTGGGAGAAGAGACCGACCCCCACCTCTCTACACCCTCCTTTCAGGGAGTTGTAGAGAGCAATAAGGTCTCCCCTCAGCCTCCTCTTCTCAGGTTTGGTTATTACCTTCATGGACATTTGAATCCTCTCAGATGAAAGAGAGACTGGAGCATGGTTGCCCTACAACTGAAGCTAGTTTTTACACTAATCTAGCACAGAAAAAGAGAAGGCTGTGTTCCTTTTAAAGTGTGTGGGTGTGTGGGTCTTTAAGGATGCCATCTTTCTCCTGTAAGGAAGGCTGGAGGTTTCTGCTGCTCAGAAAACGCAGCTCCCAGATCCTTAGTGAGAAGGCGTTTCCTCATGTATAATTCTGTGAACTTGCTCAGGAGAAAGCGTGGGCTTTAAAATGTCTTGTACTGAATGATTCCTTTTGACTAGCGCTGAGCAGAAGGTGAATATCTGCTCAATGATCTTGGCTTCTGTGAACCCCACTTGGAAGCCCTTATTGCACTTCCCAGGCGTTGCAAAGGAAATGCCTGGTCTATACCCAGAATTCAGGATTCCACCTGTGGTCACACAGGTGAATTTTACATTGAAACTTCCAACCCACATCAGCTTGGGTAGAACCTAAATTCATTAACGTCAAGTCTTTATTCTGCAAAAAGTGCTTGTGTTGCCTTTCAAACATAAGCCTGGTGAGATAGATCGTTAGTAGTCAGTCATACGAGTTTAGCCCCCAAGTACAATTTCATACAGCTGTATATTGGCTTCTCTTTTCACTGCATCATCACTAATCTTGAATTGTTTGACCATTTTAAAAGGTTCGGGATAAACTTAGTTGCAACATTAGCATAGATTTTCATTAATGTCGTTGAAATGATACTGATATTTTCTTGGCAGAAGTACTGTTTAGTGCAAACTTGGTTAAAAATTACTTGCTGTTGTGATAGTCTTTCTCATTATTTTCTCTCTTTCAGATATCCTTTGTAATCAGAAAGTGCATAAATACATGATGGTTATGTGATAAATTTTAATGTTTGTAAAGTGGAGCCCTTCAGGATATATATAGAGAGAGTTTGTGTTTTTTTTCTTTGTTTGTATTGTGTTAATGACTTTGGAATTGAAAGGTCATTGTGAAGCCCAGCATGTTGGCTGAAGGAGCCCATGCAATTTTAATAGAGCTTAGCAGGCTGGGGAGAAGAGTGGTGTGTGTTCTGTGGGACCTGTTGGTTTGTGAAGTGCAGAGGCTGGAGAGAAGAATACCAGTGGGCTGGAAAGTCCTTAGAGCTTAATGATATCCTGCCGTTAGATAAATGCCAAGACAAACCAACCCTGCTTACTAGGAGAAATTGATTTTGTGAGAATTTCTTACTTGATGAATTATAAATAATATTTTGTGTCAACATGGTTATTTTTCTCCTGCTATTCATGCAGCAGCTCGTGTATAGTAACTTCTCCTTTTCAGTGCAACTCACTTTCGCCCTGAGAAAAGTTTGTGCGTGATGAACTAGCAGATAGTAATTAAATGTAGTTAAAAAACCTGTCTTCTGTGCAGGTGGGGGTTTGGTTTCCAATTAAATGTAGTTAAAAAACCTGTCTTCTGGGCAGGTGGGGTTTTGGTTTCCTCTTTTTTTTTTTTTTCTTCTCCCCCCCTTCAATCAAATCCAGCATCAAACAGTTTTAAAATAACAAGATATTTACCTGAGTGGGTGGGTGGGTTGGTTGGTTGGAATTTGAGAGAGCCTCTCAGGCTATTTTTTTTCTTTTTTTCTTTTTTTTCTTCCTCCCCTCTTCAATCAAATCCAGCATTAAACAGCCTCAAAATAACAAGATATTTAACTGAGTGGGTTGGTTGGTTGGAATTTAAGAGAGACTCTCAGGTTGTGGAGGGAGCAGCATTCTGCCATTGGTGGTGGGTGTAAATTTAAACCTAATCCACAGGAATAAAGCTTGTTAAGATTTTTTCAGGAGAGATGCCCACTGTTAAGTGTCAGCTTCTTGTAATGCAGAAGTAAAATTTAAATTGCCTAGGGAATTTTAATTGCTTAGAAGTTGCGACACATGGAAAATAAGCTTAGAATGTATTTTTTCTTTTAAGAATCTGATGTTAACCATAGAACTGCCCAAATTAATATAGTTCTCTCTTCCCTCTCATTTCCTTGCAACTTTTTCTTTCTTTCTTCTTGCAGAATATTAGAATGTATTGCGTGACACAAAGCACAAGTGTTTGGTCTGTCTTCCAGCTCTTAATGAGGTGTCTTTGCAGGGAAGAGAGATAATTTAAAAGAAACGAAATCCTCCAGTTCATGAAATGACACGCTTTGAGCATCTTTTTTTTTTTTTGATGTGTGTGTCTGATCTTTCCAGCAAGCTGAATTTGACCTAGTTAAACTCAAAGTTGACAAAGTAAGTTTTAGAGCACTCTTACCCACCCTGATTGAAAAAAAACCAGCATTGTCAGCATGGCTGCGAGCTCCCCGTGGATGCTGCCTTACTGAGATGGCTGGTTTGGTTTGTTGGGAGTTACTCCCTATTGTGTAGTGCTTGATGTAAACTGTATTGAAAAAAAATTGCATTGATAGTGCTTTGGGTGCCTTTACTAGAAATTCAGCTGAGAGAACCAGTGTCCATACGTTGAGCAGTGGCAGTTGCTGACTGGACCGTGGCTTAAGTAGTGGTGTATAGAAGGGCTTCCTCATAACTTCCTCATCCAGTGCCGTGCTACACAGGGCAAAAGCACTTTGATTTGCTGCCTCTTATAAGTTTTTTTGGTTTTTTGTTTGTTTATTTTCTTGTGCTGACACGTTGAATAGTATTTTGGTTTCGCAAGGAGATGATGGAAACTGGTCCACAGCTATTGTTACCCTTACCGTCCATCGCATCTTCTTCTGTGGTGCTGTGTAATGAAAAATCTCACCACTTTTTACCCAATAGTGCAAATGGAGTAAGGGGAGAGCGTGTCTCTTGCAGAATGCTTTGGGGAAACCATTAAATTGATCTCCTAAATTCTGCCTTGTTATTCCCATTTCCTATTTGCAGAGAAAGTCCCCATTTCGTGCTTTTCGTAGTGCTGGAATTAGGCAAAGAGGTTTTAGAAAGGCTCCAGTAAATCTCACTGAGCTATGTCTCTCTGGTTCTGCCCTTCTAGGGGTATCTTTTTTCCTTTCTGTTCCCAGTATGTCCTTTTCCTACCTATTTGTGTCACTTTGGTTCACTTAAATAAACGTGCAGGAAAAAATACAATTTAATGGAAGTCCATTATAAACTCCGAAGTTTAATATAGTGGAATTGTAGTGAATCTTATCATTTAACGGAGCTGTTAGAACAATAGATCTACAAACAGATTATGCGGATTCAATTTACCACCTTCCTAGTACCTCCTGTGATTTTTAAGATATGATCAGAAATCAAGTGTAGTGTTTTGTGGGCACTGTAAACGAACATGGTTCATTAGCAGATGGAGCTGTTGCTTTTCTTTTGGACGGTCTGAAATAGTGCTATATCAGAAGAGGATAGTTCCAGCTTCCTCCTTTTGTCAGTTAAACATGTGAGTATCTGTAATAGAATCATAGAATCATCTAGGCTGGAAGGGACCTTAAAGATCATCTAGTCCAACCATTAACCCAACTCTTATTAGTTCCCCACTGAACTGCCATTTCTAGTAAAGAGAGAGATACCCGAGGTAATGCTCACTTAAAAAGTGTTTGACTGCTGCCAGGTAGCAGGAGGATGTAATATGTACAAAACAAAGATGGTTGATGCTCCCATCCTCTCAGGAGCAAATACTTTAATGTATGTGACCTCTACTTACCAAGGGAAGAGAATAACGTGAGAATTCTTGTGCTTTATTTCAGAATTTAAATGCCCAGACTCTTCTTCCTCTTAAGGAAATAATTTAACTTTATAAACATCACCAGTATGAACTTAAAAATGCTTTCAGCAGACTCTAGTAGTAAAATAGCAATTCTTCAGCGAAAGGTTTTTATAGGCAGCATTATTTCAACCATTATCTTTCACGACCTTGAGATTGCCACGCTGATTTCCATTAGTGCACCGCTAGATACACGGAGACAGGAGGTTATACCCGTGCCCAGTACGATCCCTACACCACAGGAAACCTTGTCTGGTGTAACTGGGATAGTGACAGTACCTGTTTTACTTTGGTCACAGTGTGGATGGGACAACTGGTTTGGTTCTCAAGCGAATTCTAACACTCCACTTAAAAATAAAACTTAGTTTTCGTGCTCAGTTGGCGTTTGTGCCTCAGACGTGCCTGGGAACAGATCTGCATCTGAGCTGCGTGCTGCGTTTGGGGGGAAAAAAAAAAACCCACTGCATTTTTTTTGAACAACAACATTTTCATTCTCTTCATTCTCTTTTGCAAAGTAACACTGAATTTGAGGAGAAACTGTCGTCAGAGCCTTGTGCGGGTTTAAATCATTCAGTCTGTAGTAAAACTTGCCTGAGTTATTTTCAGGTAGAGATCTCATTAATTCTCAATTCCCTGTGGATTGGTGTAGCCCAGAGTTCCGTTTGCTTCGAAATAAATACATTTCAGAAAAAAAAAAAAAATTCTATGCTTCAATGGATTTTTCAGATAAGGACCGAAGCAAGTCCTTATAAATGGCAGAGTTCATAAACCGTGGGTAGGAGTCTCTGTGCATTAAGGTGTAGATCTGGAGCTGTGCGTCATCGAAGGTGTGTTGTGAGGGTTCCAGCATGTTCCGGTTAATAACTTCCCGTACTCTGGAGTCCAGACTGACCTGTGTGTTAAAATAGAAACTCACGTAAATAATAGTGCTGAATGGTACACCTGGGGGGGGGGGCTTAGCTTTGTTTTATTGGTTGAGAAAGCAGTCTTTTTGGGTTTGTTTTTTTTTTTAACCCTTTCAGCGGGTGTCCTTCAAGAGTGTAAAAACTGCTAAATGTAGGTAGGTGAAGAAGTGATTGTGTTGAAATCTAGAAGTGGTAATCTCTGGAGTGTGGACAGAGCCATTTTCTCACTGGGGCTCCCTTGGAAGAAGGCTGCCTGGGACCCTGTTACTACTGAAACCCAGAGGGACTGGTGGATCATTGCCAGACCAACGTCCTGCTCTGTAGGAGAGAGGGTTTGTAATTTTTTGTGATGGTTCATTTCCTTGGGAGTTAGTTCCCTGACAAGGGACCCGAGTTTGGAGTAAGCAGGGTGACGCAGACGGAAGCTGGGAAGTTCTCACTTCATCAAATTCCTGCTAAAAAGCAGGGTGCATTGATGGGAACCACAGGTATGGCTATAACGGTTCCATACAACATACAAGTCATGCTGTCATTGTTTTCTGCGAGGAGGTAGCGTCTGTAGAAAGATGTTAGTAGTATTGGAGTAGACTAACTAGATTGAAATAGCATTTTTATAAGTACATAAGTACAACTTGCACCGCAAACAATTAAGTTTGCGTTTTGCAAGGGTACCAGGAGGTTTAAAATTCATAGAATCATAGAATCGTCTTGGTTGGAAGAGACCCTTGGGATCATCGAGTCCAACCATCTACCCTACTCTACAAAGTCCTCCCCTACACCATGAATTCCATCCTGCTCGATAGGATTACATTCAAACTGAACTGAGGTGTCTTCAAAACTCGACATATTTGCTAACAGCAGAGAGACAAGTAGTTTTGAAAATTTCCAGGAAGTCGGTGTGTTTGTTGTGGGCTCTGTCAGCTGCTCTTGGAGCAATTTGTGCTTTGCAAATAACACTTTGTTTGTAGTTACTCTGCTTTGGGACAGACACATTCACCCTGTTCCTAGTGCAAAGGAGAAAGAAACTGATTTGTCCAACAAATTAAATTTGAGCAAGGATGAAGCGATCATCTATATATTTGTGCCTCAAACTAAAGACCTCACACCAGCACACCAGGAGAGAGCTTTCTTACAGCCAGTGAAAGTCATTTTGACCATCTCACCTCAACGATGGGTCTGCCTTTTTCCCCTAAACCTCTACTTGATGGCAGTGGAATGTGGGGGGGAAAAGTTCTCCCTCAGTATTTTTTGTAGAATCACAGAATGGTTAGAGTTGGAAAGGACCTTAAAGATCATACAGTTCCAACCCCCCTGCCCTGGGCAGGGACACCTCCCACCAGACCAGGTTGCTCAAAGCCCCATCCAGCCTGGCCTTGAACACCTCCAGGGATGAGGCAGCCACAGCTTCTCTGGGCAACCTGTTCCAGTGGCTCACCACCCTCACAGGAAAGAATTTCTTTCTAGTATCTAATCTAAATCTCCCCTCTTTCAGTTTAAAACCCATTACCCCTTGTCCTATCAACCCACTCCCTGATAAAGGGGCCCTCCCCATTTCTCCTGCAGGCCCCTTTAGGTACTGGAAGACCCTCTCTTTTTGTGGCTTTAAACACGTTAGAACTTAACTGTGCAAAGCAGCATCAAAGAATGTGTTGAGGAAAGTGATATACCTCTTTTGGAGATAGGATAGAAATATAATCTTCGTAAATTAGTCTTGCTTTTTCTTCAATGACGCTTTTGTTGGATTCTTGTTTCAGTTCCTCACAGGCCATCCAGAAAAGCATGTTTTCCTCGCTGAATTCGGTGCGTAGAAATTCCCGAAAAGCATTCCTGCCAGCTGGAGTAAGCATCAGCTTGTCAAAGGACTGAGCCCAGGCGTTTACTTCTTCAAGAGTAGGAGCAGGGCTTGGAGAGGAAGGAGAGGACAAGAGGAGAGAAGTGAGTGACTGTTACTGTCTGCAGCTGGCAGGAGGCGTCTGGCATCGCGATGGAACAACATCGCAAGGTTCGTGGGGCTCTTCATTCCTCACCAGAGCTGCCCAAGTGCAAACTCTAGTAAACATATTTATAAGATGCTTTTTGAAAGTGTGCTTATCAAAATCTGAAATGCAGATGATTGCCCCCGCTTTGATGCAAACATTGCAGTTTACTGCTCAGAGTAATTGCAATAAATTCCCTCTGCAACAGCTAAGCATTTCTTCCATTACCCAACAGTCCTTCTTGAATCACTCTTAAAAATTGAATGAAAATATGCAGAAAGAAGCAATGATTCAACCCTGTAAGAGGTACCCTCCTGTCTATTACGGTTTTACAGGTATTACCTGTAAATTCAGAGCAATTCTGAAGAGGAGCCTGACTTTGGGGAGGATCTGAGCTCCTCTTTATATTTATTGTTTTTTAAGGCTGGGCGCTGCCAGTAAGATTCATCACATGGCTGCTGGGAACAGGATGTATTTAAAAATGATTTCAGAGAACAGGGAGACTGTGTTTACAATGCTGGTTTTGATCTGCCGTGTTATAAAAGGGGGGATGTGGTTACACAGTGCATATAAATCAGTAAGAGATTATAGAATCATAGAATTGTCTAGGTTGGAAGGGACCTTTAAGATCATCTAGTCCAACCATCAACCAAACCCAAATAAAAAACCAAAAGAAAAACGTACAAAAAAACCCCCATGTTACTAAACTATGTCTCTGAGCACCACGTCAACCCGTCTTTTGAAAATCTCCAGGGATGGTGCCTCAACCACTTCCCTGGGCAGCCCATTCCAAGGCTTAGTAACCCTTTCAGTGTAAAAATTCTTCCTAAGATTATAGATTATATTTATGATATAGATTATATATTTTATATATATAAATTTTTCCTGATTATAGGTCAGACCTTTGCTTCCTTAGGAGGTAAGAGACAGGTGACTGCAAGTTCAGCATAAATTACAAGTAAATAACGATAGTTATTTGCATAATTCAGGTAATTCACTTAGATTATTTAGTATGGTTAGTTGGGTTTGCTTTGTTTTAGCTTGACAGAACACTAAGTAAAGACCATACCTTTCCTCACAGTTTGGAATACCCTCTGCTTGGAGCTCATGAGATGTTCTCCTTGCTCTCTCTTCATCTTGGTTTCTAACAGTAAGACTGCAAGGTAGAAAACAAAATTTTAGTCAATTTTATAAAGGAAAAAGCTGAACGTTCACCAGAAGCTTTTCCTCCAATATTAAAAAAAAAAAAAAAGCTCAAAGGACAGAAGGTAAAGGACACATTACCCACAGTTGTACTCTGACATTAATTTTACAGTTGTATAAACCTGGCAAACTTTAATGTAGCTGAACAGGGTTCAATATTGTATCACATGGACTCTGTACAGGGATCACAGACTCATGGAATATCTCAATTTGGAAGGGACCCATAAGGATTATCAAGTCCAATTCCCTATATACATGTATATACAAGTAAATATATATATATGGGATATATACACACATACATGAGTACCCTTTATCATGTATTATATCTGTTCTCCGTTGATGCTTATTATTCTGTGTATGCTCAGTGCAATGTTTTTGCTTAGGTTAGGCTTGATGCACTGGTTTTATGTGTTACATTTCAAGGTTGGTTGGTTTGGGTTTTGGGTTTTATGTGTTACATTTCAAGGTTGGTTGGGTTGGGTTTTGGCTTCTTTTTGTTTTTCCTTCTTTTTTCTTCTCCTTGGCTATTTTTTTGTCTCCATAGCACACGATGAGGGTTTTTTTTTCTTCTTTTTTTTTTTCTCCTTGGCTACTTTTTTGTCTCCATAGCACACGATGAGGACCAAGGCTCTGGTTTAGAATGGTGATACCATGATACAAGACAGCCAGAGTTCAGCTGGAGGACAAGTTTTAAGCTAAACGTGTCTCTTGAGACGTTGGAAGTGGAAGCATCTTTCAGAGTTCAGATGTAGGTACAGCCAGATTGTGTAGTAATTGATTGTAACTTTGAGAAAGTGCTAATATGTGGTTGAAAATGTGAGGCCTGGAGCACAAAGAACAGATACGCTCAAAACAGCATTCAGCAATATCGTGTCTGACTGGAAACAAGTGTCAGCTTGTTTGTAGGATTACAGAAAAATAAAAGTAAATGTTTGCTGACTAGTGGTCACCGAGAGAGGGTTCTTCATGTCCCATGGAAGGGTAGCTGTCAACTCCTGCTGCTTTCATCAAGACTTAGTTTAAATAACTCTATTTTTTAAAAATCCTTTTGTTAGTGGCAGATGATTCTTTCTCATTTGAGACTGGATTTGAGCACACACGTACTTCTTTTTAAGGGATGGGGACCATGTTCCAGTTGACAGGCTGTCGTAGTTTAGTGAGAAAGGCATGTGTGCACGCACACACCGTGCAGTCATATAGTTTGTAAAGCTGCTTAAAATTTGTCAAGCACAAAAGGTCCCATGAATTATAATTTATATGAAATGGGTCCTTCCTCCAGCTGAAATAGAGCAATAAAGTTGTTTTAACTTTCAGGAAAATACCAAACTGAGTTCCTTCATTTGTACCTTACCTTTCTTTAATCCTAACATTGTAACTGTTTTGTTGCCTTAATCCTTAAGAATCTGATGTATCTCTAGTAAGGCTTTTTGTCTCAGTCCTATACTACCCTTTTAACCAGTGATTCTGGCCTTTTTTTAGCATGAAAGTTGGTATATTGTGTGCTCGTCACACACAGCAAGGAGTGATGTGCTTGTCAGAGCTATTTTTGGATTGGGGAGAACTAACAGATCCAACAGGAGTGATTAAGTCTTCATAGGATAATGCACGAAAGGGGAGAGAGACAAAAGAAATAATAAAACCTTCCTTAAGAGAACATGACATGCCTCCGAAAATGCCTTGTGGGCAGGCTCCTTCCCTAGAAATCTACAGATAAACACGAAAAGAAGAGACAAATGCAATAGTGCATCTTCTCAGGATGTGGAAGAGTAACAGGCTGGAGGCTGAGTTTTGGCTGTAGGAATGAGCACAGGCTCTGAGCATCCAGCTGAGAGACTCATTTCACTATTGCTTCATCCTGAATCTACTATTAAGAGTGTGCTGAATGTTGGATGTTCAGCAGCTCAGCTGCATGACTCACGGAGATGGTTATTTTTATTCCTATTCATAATTTTTTTCTGTTCAAAGTACTCAAGCTATTTTGAGGAAAAGGCTCTATGAATAGGGAATATAAATAGCTTAATTATGGTTTGTTTTGCATTTCTTGCTACTAGAAAACAGTTTTTTCTCAAAAAAAATCAGAAATTATTTTAAAGCTAAACCAAGCTGCTCTGTTTTGGAGCCTGTACTGGTTTCCCAGATGATTCTGAAATGCAAATACAAATTTGATGTTGCTTAAAATTCCTGTACTTTCAGACACTTTATTGAATAAATTGCTTTCTTTGAATTGTTTGAGCAGCGAGGTGCACAGATAATGAGCATCCTGGAAAAGATCAGGTAAAATGGCAAAAAAAGCACTTTATCAACAATTTAAAAGAAAATGCAAATTTTCTGTACTCTGACTTAGTAGGTAAATGTGCCTTATTTCTTCCTTTTGTGGAAAGACATGTCTGTTTGTGTAGTGCAGCTCTAGACTGAGGCATTTGAGATTGCACTGGGCAACTGTTCAGATGACACTGGAATGTGTACGGGATGCTTGGACACAGACACCATCCTGCAAGGGACCAAGCTCTGGCCCTGTACAGGCACAGTACCTACTGTCTCTTTAAACTCCAACTTATTTTATCTCCAAGCACCTGCTGAAAAGCTCGGTGGGATCAGAGCCAGAGTACTTGGCATGTTGCAAAAAGAAAAATATCCAATCACCTCTTGTCCTTGTAAAATACTCACTATTTGCATTAGGGAGGGGAGAACTGGGTATCCCAGCTTCTGATGAGTTGAGTACCAATAGCAAAGGAATCAGCCTGCTCTTCCCTTGCCTTCTAAAGCTCTTCTCCAAAGGATTTGCTACCAGCTGTTGTTGGAAAAAAAAATATATGGTGGAATAGATTCCTAGCCTGGGCTGTAAGGTTATTTACGACTTTTTCCCTTCACCTCAGTGCCAGGTTTGCTTGCTCTGAAGGGTTTCTGTGGTGGATAGTGCATGGAAGCACATCTTTCTGTTTTAAGGCTTTTCTTTATTTCAATGCAAGTTCTGGTCTCACCCACTAATTAGCAGTATGGGAAGCTTTACTTCAGTTTTGAATGAAATCAGTTAGATCTGGAGGAGCTGGTAAAAGAACGAAGGTGAACAAATCATTAATTTAAGGAATCAAGTGATTCCTTTTCCTCTTGCTTTGCCTTCCCTTCTAACTTTTCCTCCTTAACACCTTGTAATGGCAGTTCTTCTGGAGTACGTTCTGCTTAACGCCTCATCAGCAAACACCCACCATGTTTAAAGTCTCTGATCCCAAGGATTAACTTCATATGAATTGCAGGTGCCATGAATTGTCTTATTTGCAGAAACATTGACATTTTGAAACACGAATTAATGACAACAGATCCAGTTCCTTTAAAAAAAAAAAAAAAAAAAAAAGAAACAAAAAACAAAACCCCCAGTGCTGGCCACCTGGTTATTCATTTTCTGACCTACAAATTCTTCCACCTTCTCCTAATTCCATGTAACACAGCTTGTGCTCCCTGTAAAGCCCCAGTCCTAAATCTAAAGCTGTTAGGTATTCTGGTATGGCTTTCAGTTTTCAGTGGAAGCCCCGGTAAAGCTCAAGGCTGAGGAGAACCAGTCCTGCACAGAACAGACCTTCATTACACAGCACTGACAACTTAAGTATAAGTATAAAAATATTGTACAGAGAAGGGTTTTGTTTTGTTTTTTTAAATCTGTTGTTTCAATGGCAGGAATAGAAAAGAAAAGAGTAAATTGGAGTAGAAGGTTGTGTTAGCACTAGAGCACAGTCCTCTCTCTTAGTCCCAGACCTGCAGAATTACCCAGGTGGTTTGTGTGCTTTCTGTTGTCCTGTGCCCTGGCTGTCACCCCCTTCCCCTCTCCCTCCCCGAAATTCCCCGGGGGCTCGAAGGAGCGGGGTTTTACCATGAGCAGCTGCAGCAACAGCACCAACAGAAGCAGCAGGCGTTGGACCCTCGATTGCCCGTGCTGTGCTGAGCCTGGGCAGCCCCTGGGGTCTCCTGGGTCGTAGACATCTGCCGCTTGCGCATCTCCATCCGCTCTGATCCCATGGGCTGCAAGACAGCAAGAGAAAGGGCAAGTAAGACAAGTAAG